AGGAGAGACAGGTGAGGAGGAAGAGAAGAAAAGGGACAGGAGGGGAGAGAGAATGAGAGAGGAGAGGAGGAGGAGAGAGGGAGCGGTCGAATGCTTTGGTTCAGTCGTGAGGAACCTTCACAGTGAAATCAGTAAACCATGACAAGACAAACCCACCATCTGACAGACAGAGAGAGAGAAGGAGAGAGGAGGAGAGGAAGAGGGGATAGAGGAGAGAGAGAGAAGGAGAGAGGAAAAAGGAAAAGAGAGGAGAGAGAGAGAAGAGGAAGAGAGGAAGGAGAAAGGAAGAGAGGAGAGATACAGAGGGAGACAGGAGAGAGAGGAGGAGAGGAGGGAAAGAGAGAGGAGAGAGAAGAACAGAGATTAGAGAGAGGAAGAAAGGAGGGAGAGAGAAAGAGAGACGAGGAGAGAGGAGAAGGAGGGAGGAGTGAAGAGAGAAAGAGAGGAGGGAAAGAGAAGAGAATGAGGAAGGAGTGAGGAGAGAAAGGGGTGAAAGAGAAGCGACTGAGGGAGAGAGAGGGAGAAGAGTGGAGGAGAGAGGAAAGATGATGGCGAGAGAGGGAGAGAAAGAGAGAAAAGAGAGGAAGAGAGGAGGGAGAGAGAAAGGGGGGAGGAGGGAGAAGAGAGAGAGAGAGGGAGACAGGTGAGAGAGGGAAGAGAGAGGGAGACAGGACAAGAGAGAGAGGAGGGAAAGAGGGAAGAGAAAGAGAGGTTTGGGGAATGTAAAGGCCCTGGAGGAAGTATTTGTCCTCAGGAAGTGTGTGTTAGCATGCTAGTTGTTGTAAAACTCCATTGTGATGGGGGAAGTTGTGAAAGTTGAAAAGAGAATTTGTCGTGTCTTTGACGTTTTGAAGTCGGTAAAAGTCGGGCATTTCTCTCCCTCACGTGAACAGAATTGAGATGTTCACTCGTTGTTTCTGCACAAATCCACAGGTTTCTCACATTTGTCCTTCTTTCCTCAGGAGTATGTCCAGATCTGCAAGGACAATGCTTTTTCTCTGATTGGCTAACCCACCTGTCAATCAACCCAATCTGAAGTCAAAAGGAAGAAGCACTGCTGCTGTCGAGTCAAACCTGAGAATGAGTGTGAAGAAATGTCTAATAACCAGAGACGAGGAGGGAGGGGGAGAGAGAGAGAGAGAGAGGAGGGAGAGAAAGAGAGAGGAGGAGGGAGAGAAAGAGAGTGGAGGAGGAGGGAGAGAGAGAGGGGAGGAGGGTGAGAAAGAGAGAGGGGAGGAGGGTGAGAAAGAGAGAGGAGGAGGGAGAGAAAGAGAGAGGAGGAGGGAGAGAAAGAGAGTGGAGGAGGAGGGAGAGAGAGAGGGGAGGAGGGTGAGAAAGAGAGAGGAAGAGGGAGAGAAAGAGAGAGGAGGAGGGAGAGGAGAGCAGAGGAGAGCAGAGGAGAGAGGGAGAGAAGAAGAGGAGGAGGACGATGACGAGGAGGGGGAGGAGGAGGAGGAAGAGGAGAGCAGAGAAGTGAGGGATAGAGTGAGAGGAGGAGGGAGAGAGAGTGAGAGGAGGAGGAGGGAGAGGAGAGCTGAGGAGATGGATAGGAGGTTATGGACTCGACACATCATTATAAAGACAGGACCATTTTTCACATAAACTGCACCGAGGAAAACAGAGGCAGCCAGAGAGAGAGAGACAGAGAAGGAGAGAGAGGGACAGAGAAGGAGAGGGAAAGGGAGGAAGAGAGAGCGAGAGAGACAGGGGGAGGAAGGAGAGAGGGAGAGGGCAAGAGGGTGAGAGAGAGAGGGAGAGAGGGGAAAAGACAGAAGGAGAGAGAGAGGGAGGGGGAGAGAGTGAGAGAGAGGGAAAGCAGAGGGAGGATCTGCTGAGTCAGGAAAGAGAGAGAGAGGAGAGGAGTAAGATAAAGAGTGAAAAAAACAGGAACGAAAGACGCAGAGATGGAGAGGGGAGAGATATTTGATAAGACACAGAGAGAGTGACAAACAAGATAGAGAGAGATGGAGGAGGGAGGAGATGGAGAGAGAGGAGGGGAGAGAGAGTGAGGAGATAGAGAAAGAGAGGAGGGAAGAGAGGAGAACCTAGGATCAAACAGAGAAACAGAGAGAGGGAATAAGAGAGAGAATGAGGGAGAGAGTGATGGAGAGAGATAATGAGTCTGCTTAAATATGGAACATAAAAACGGTTTGTTTTACGCAGGGTTTGTGAACACAACTTGAGGCTCATATGATTTTTATGGAGTGGTGTTGGGCTCAGTATTCACCAAAGAACCAGAGGATCACCAGTTCAAGTCACTTCAGAAGTCCTTTTTGGGTTCTGTCACAGTGACAGCAGTTGGTGCACCAGTCCTTCCACTGGATCCAGAAGTTCTTAGTTGGGTTGGTTTTGGTTGGTGTGAAAGCTTCAGTTGCACTCGGATCTGGACTAAATCAAACGAACCGACACCTCAAAAAAGAGCTGGTCCTGGTCCTTGACTCCGCACCCAATGCCAAACTCTGGTCCCTCTGGTGAGATGCCAACTCAGGTCTAAACCAGAGACAGTAGGTCCAAACTAACTATTCCAAATGCATTATGGGAGGACACGCTCGGACTCCTCCAATTTCCACTGTCCCAAATTGGGTCCCTGTGCCAAGGTTAAGGGTTGTGACGAGGCCCGGGGTTGGGTCTGGACGCCTGCCCCGTGGCTGGTGGTCTGGAGGTTTGCAAGGCTGGGACAGAGTGACATGAGGTCCCCACTTTTTATTTTCAGTGCCGCCCGTTCCCTGTGGAGATGGTGCATCTCGGCCTCACTTCTGAGACGTCTGGAGCACGGGAAAGTCTCAGCATCAGTGGAACCTGCTGTGCACGAGCCTTGGCTATACAACAATCAGACCAGTACTGGTAGGGCTGGGCGATCTTAAACTTGATATGGATCCTGACATATCGTATATATCGATATAATGTTTATATTCAATTCTGGTTTCGCCGCTTCGCTTGTTTACCTTCTCTGTGCGCGTCCCCGCCTCCCTGATTTTGCTAGACTATGTCTCATTCACTCCTCACTATCACCGTGAACGCCGAAAGTTGGTGCCAGTGAAAATCTTCTAGCACCATGAACCTTTTCTACCATTTCACATTCTTCCACAGACAAGACCATCAGCAGCACATCCTCATATTCCACCAAGTCGTGTCCTTTAGTCCGAAAGTAGCTGAACCACATGAGCAGCACAAGGAATGCGCTGTTTAGGCAAATTAACCATGCGCTTTTAAGTTTAGTTTCTGTAAAACGTAAACACGTGAAGCTGCATTAAACACATGATAATGTCAAACGGGCTGATGTGGCTCTAGAGTCGTGTTGCTTTACATGATGTAAAGTTTAGTAATGTAAAGTTTATTTATGCAGAAGATTTTAATCTGCAGTGGATTGTGGGAAACCTCAGAGCTCCTTATGCTGCTGAGGAACATGGGTCTGTTAAAATAAGGAACCTCCTGAACTTCCTCTGCTCAAGGAGCTCATGGTTCTTGTATGGTTACAGAGTTAATGCAAAGATGAGTTTGAGCTGAGTTGTTTTATTTATGATTGAAAAGAAGGCAACATGTATTATTTCTTTTATTTTACAGTTATATTATTATTTATGTAATCATGGATTTTTTTTGTAATTGTGAATGTGGCAGAAGCTCTTTGTTCCTACATGAACTGTCCACCTCTTGCACTTCGATAAAAAAGGACCTTGTGGAAGTTGGCAGATTTGTTTTTGCAGGAGTTATGGGGGTTATTTTTCCTACACATATCGAGATATCGTATATCGAGATATAGAAAAATATATCAAGATATATTTTTTTGCTCCATATTGCCCAGCCCAATGTGAAAGGACCACACTGGAGTCTCGATGCTACAGAACAACTATTTTATTGCCTGGTGCAGACCAAAAAACCAAACCAGCGAAGTGAAAGTGCCCTTAAACCTTTCCTCTGTTATGTTTGACTCACAAAAGCACTAAACTGATCACAGCACAGCACTGGAACTGAAAGAGCAGAGTTTTGCATCACGGTGATGTTAACAACAACTAGCACACTAATGTGCACTTCCCAGTTCTCGGACAGTAAAATGTTTTATAATTAGATGCATCACACAGCAGATTTATTTTGAACTCAAGAGCTGCTGATACATTCTATCTGTATGGGCCAGGACACATTTTCCTCAGACACATGGGGGAAAATCAGGTGCAAGGCTTCAAAATGGACTGTTACACTGATATTAAAGTAGTATTTTTAAATCCTATTTGCACTTTTTAAAATTCACTTTCATGTGTCAGACTGTGAGAGCTGCACACAGGGACAGGGCTGTTATTGGCTTATGCACGGAAAGCTCCGGATTACAACCTGACAGCAACTTTATCTGTCCATGTTTTACCAACACACATCTGACCCACACATCACACCACATACACCCTCGTCTTCACTCTCTCCTGCCCTCCTGTTCTCTCTACTGCTCCCCACTTCCCTCCCTCTTTTCCTTCTTCCCTTCTTCCCCCTCCCTCTCCTTCTCACTACTTCACTCTCTCTATCCCTCCCTCCCTCTCTCGCTCCATTCTTCTGGTTTGTGCGTGGCTTAACATAGTCACAGGTGTAATATTTTCCTTAGTCTGGGATATAATCCTTCGTGTATGTATTTTTGGGATTTGTCTGTGGGTGTAGGTTGTTATTTGTGTACATTCTTGATGTGTAGTTGCATGTTTTATGTTTTAATTCAATGATTCTCTTTTGTCTCATACATCTGCAGTGAGTTTGTGTGTACAGTGCAGTGTGTGTGTACAGTGAGTTTGTGTGTACACTGCAGAGTGTGTGTACAGTGAGTTTGTGTGTCCAGTGCAGAGTGTGTGTCCAGTGCAGAGTGTGTGTCCAGTGCAGAGTGTGTGTCCAGTGCAGAGTGTGTGTACAGTGCAGAGTGTGTGTACAGTGCGAGTGTGTGTACAGTGTGTGTACAGTGCAGAGTGTGTGTACAGTGAGTTTGTGTGTACAGTGCAGAGTGTGTGTACAGTGCAGAGTGTGTGTACCTGAGGTGAGCTCCTCCTCCAGCAGCTGAATCTGAAGGTCAAAGATCTTCTCCTGAAGGTCACACAGAGAGTGCTTCATCCTCTCTCTCCGGGTCACCATGTAACACAGGTTACGCACCTGAAACACAAGACAGAGAGAGAGAGAGAGAGAGAGAGAGAGAGAGAGAGAGAGACCATTAACTAGCATGCATATGAGAGAGAGAGAGAGAGATGTGGTTACCACTGCAGGTTACACACCTGAAAGAGAGAGCATTAACTAACATATAAATGTGAGGGAGAGAGAGACAGGGGGATGAGGGGTTGTACTGTGTACAAATGTAGTGTCAGAGTGTGGACAGGTGAAGTCCACTCTAGTGGACTTAAGACAGTCAGTCACTCAAACATTTCAAATATGTGTTAGTTGCAGTGATTTCAGGAGAGTGTGTCTGTGTGTCTCTGTGTGCGTCTGTGTCTGCTTGTCTCTGTGTGTGTCTCTGTGTGTGTCTCTGTGTGCGTCTGTGTCTGCTTGTCTCTGTGTGTGTCTCTGTGTGTGTCTGTGTGTGTCTCTGTGTGCGTCTGTGTCTGCTTGTCTCTGTGTGTGTCTCTGTGTGTGTCTCTGTGTGCGTCTGTGTCTGCTTGTCTCTGTGCGTGTTTCTGTGTGCATCTGTATGCGTCTGTGTGTGTCTGCTTGTCTCTGTGTGTCTGTGTGTGCACCTGTGTGCGTCTCTGTGTGCGTCTCTGTGTGTCTTTGTGTGTGTCTCTGTGTGCGTCTGTGTGTTTGTCTCTGTGTGTCTCTGTGTGCGTCTGTGTGTGTTGTCTCTGTGTGTCTCTGTGTGCGTCTGTGTGTTTGTCTCTGTGTGTGTCTGTGTGTGCGTCTGTGTGTTTGTCTCTGTGTGCGTCTGTGTTTGTCTCTGTGTGTTTGTCTCTGTGTGTGTCTCTGTGTGCGTCTGTGTGTTTGTCTCTGTGTGCGTCTGTCTCTGTGTGTTTGTCTCTGTGTGTGTCTGTGTTTGTCTCTGTGTGCGTCTGTGTGTGTGTCTCTGTGTGCATCTGTGTGTTTGTCTCTGTGTGTGTCTCTGTGTGCGTCTGTGTGTGTCTCTGTGTGTGCGTCTGTGTGTTTGTCTCTGTGTGTGTCTGTGTGCGTCTGTGTGTGTGTCTCTGTGTGCATCTGTGTGTTTGTCTCTGTGTGTGTCTCTGTGTGCGTCTGTGTGTATCTCTGTGTGTGTCTGTGTGTGTGTCTGTGTGTGCATCTGTGTGTTTGTCTCTGTGTGTGTCTCTGTGTGCGTCTGTGTGTGTCTCTGTGTGTGTCTCTGTGTGCGTCTGTGTGTTTGTCTCTGTGTGTGTCTCTGTGTGCGTCTGTGTGTGTCTCTGTGTCCGTCTGTGTGTGTCTCTGTGTGTGTGTCTGTGTCTGTGTGTTTGTCTCTGTGTGTGTCTCTGTGTGCGTCTGTGTGTGTCTCTGTGTGTGTCTGTCTGTGTGTGTCTGTGTTTGTCTCTGTGTGCGTCTGTGTGTTTGTCTCTGTGTGCGTCTGTGTGTGTCTCTGTGTGTGTCTCTGTGTGCGTCTGTGTGTTTGTCTCTGTGTGTGTCTCTGTGTGCGTCTGTGTGTGTCTCTGTGTGTGTCTCTGTGTGCGTCTGTGTGTGTCTCTGTGTGTGTCTGTGTTTGTCTCTGTGTGCGTCTGTGTGTTTGTCTCTGTGTGCGTCTGTGTGTGTGTGTGTGTGTGTGTGTGTGTATAGCCTGGTGCTGTGTCCCTGTGTGCAGCAGTTATAAATAGACAGGACAAAATGTGCACAGTCTGATTAGAACACTGCATGCGACTCTAAAGGAAGAGGAGGAGCAGACAAGTCCATGAATACTGAAGGATTACAGGGAATTATGGTCTGTCTGCGCCTGACTCACACAAAATGGAACTAATAGAGCTGCGATTGTGTGGAGATTTGCGATTTATGTTTTAAAGGTCCCGTATTGCACAATTTTCACATCTATGTTATTATGTTTCCTCTTCACAAACACACTTGGAGTTGTGTTTTGTTTAACACACAAAACCTGAACATTTAGGCTGAATTCTTCTCTCAAACTGAAAACACCTTGTGATGTCATGGTAATACAGGAAGAAATGTGTTTTTAAACGTCACACACCTTCACTAGAATCACCTGGATAATTTCTGCCTTGGAATTGCCAAACTCTACTCAACTAAAGGTAAAAAGTAGGGATGTAACGATAACCAAAATATTGTGATATCATATGGTCAAAAGTCTCACAATAACATCTGATGTAATCCATCCAGTCCTTATGTTTGGAGAAGTTGCTAGTGCTAGGCTTTTGCATGTCAATGGCCACTGTTATCCTGCCACTAAAAACACTATGATTACACCAGTCTGTCCATGTGAATGTCTGTGTCAACAGAATAATATAATAATTTTAGAAGTAAAACCAACCTTGCTTTTGAAGGATTTATGTGTGAGCAGCAGCAGTGAGTTGTACTTCCTGATAGAAAGCTCAACAGCGGCGGACTGATATCCCCTGGCACCATTGCGATAACAACACATAGAGCACATGAAAAAGTCTGTTCCAGTTATGGCTAGAGCCCGACCGATATATCGTTTGGCTGATATTATTGGCCGATATGAGCACCTAGAAGCATATTGGCTATCGGCCGATATGCTTGCTGATATGTTTGCTGATAGGAGCCGATATTTCACATGGTCATGTTATATCTTGTTATAAATCTTAGACTCTCTACATTCTGTTCATTTAATCCAATTTACAGACAGATGATTGTCCTAATATGTGGCTCCACATCAGTATTTATCTGTGGAGTCATTTGTGTGTGTGTGTGTGTGTCCGTACTGTCAATGAACACACACGCAGAGTCACGTGCGTTTGTTTACACCCGCAGACATAGATCCATGTGCAACACTAAGATTATTTTCTTTTTACAGACAATCAGTTTGAGTCTGGATTAAAAGGACATTTATTAGTGCAGACTTGTGATGTGGGAGGAGCCTGTGTGAGCGCTGAGTATTGAAAATATGTCGACTCTGAAGCTAGTTTTGGTTGGCTGTTTTCTATTGGTCTATTGTAAAGTGACTATATTGGCCGTATATTTGTTACTGGACCTGCATTGATATGTAAATGAGCTGTGAATAGACGTGTGAATGATGAAATTTGCGCATATAATTAATTACTAATCGCTAATAGCGATTGTTTCTTTACTAGCTAGGCTAGTAGTGATGGGTCGGTTGCGAACGAAGCGGCTCTTAGAGCCGGCTCTTTGAAGTGAACGATGGGAGCCTGATCCTTACTGGGACTGGAAGTCGTGTTTTCTCTTTCTCTCATTTTTTTCTCTTCACGTCGCGTGCAGACTCGTGGGAGTTTGACAGTGGCAGCGGCTAAAAACTAAACTTTCAAAAATATGCGTGTGCATAGAGTAAAAAAAAACATGCATAAATATATTCAGCATAAAATTAATAAACTAGGACTAATCTTGGGGTAGAGAGAGGGAGAGAGATAGAGCCCGAGTCCCGACACTCAGTCCTGGTTCAGTTCTGGTTTAGTCCTGTTTTACACATGGTTTAGATTTGTTTTAGTCCTGGTATAGTCCTTTTTCAGTCCTGGTTCAGTTCTGGTTTAGTCCTGCTTTAGACCTGCTTTAGTCCTATGACATATCATGTAAAGAGGCAGAATAACAATAAATGTTGCCTAAATAAACCCAGTTTAAAATCCACCAGAGCCAAACCTAAGTTTTTTTAAAATAATTCAAGATTTACAGTGAATTTTTACATCACTAAATATATCAGCGATTATATCGGCTATCGGCAGCTCCAACTTCCATTATATCAGTATATCGGCCACAACAAAATCCATATCGGTCGGGCTCTAGTTATGGCCACGTTCACATCATCATAACTAACTAGAGCAGAGTAAAATTCCTCTGCTATTGAGAAAATAGTTCCTCAACATGCGACGACTCATGCGATACAAGTTTTACTTCTAAAATGATTCTATTGACACAGACATTCACATGGACAGTCTGGTGTAATCATAGATTTGTGGAGTGGGTATGACTGTTTTTAGAGGCTAACAGTGGTCGTTGACATGCTCTAGTCTAGCACCAGCAACTTCTCCAAATACAAGGACTGGGATGGATTATTTCAAAAAGTGTCTCCACACATCTCCAACACTCTGGCTCACAAGGAAATGAAAACCTATGTCCAAAATTCCGAACTGTCCCTTTAAAGGCATGGTTTTAAAGTAGCAGCAGCTTATAAACATCGGGAACTACATTTCCCATCATTCATTTCAGTGCAAACATGATGAAGAAATATGTTTTTACTTGAATTCTTGGGATTATGACAGAAATAATTCACACCAAACTCTTATCAAGGTATTTTAAAAGCAAAAAAGTGTTCCATTTACAAATATATCAGCCTCTCCAAAATATCGCAATAAATATCGTACTGTGAAATGCATATCGTGATAATATCGTATCAAGAGATGTGGATATTGTTACACCCCTAGTAAGAGAAGACAGACTAATAATGCAGGGTTACTCAAACATGCAAATGAAACAAAACCCAACTCCAGGTCTGTTTTTGAGGAGATAACAACATTCTGACGAGCTCATAAGAGTTCATTTTGTGTAATTCAGCTCCGTTAAGAGAATGTACAGGATTTTAACAGTGACCCGTGTGTTTTTCTCCCCCTCAGAGCTCGGACTATTTCTCTCTTTAAAAGTCTGAAGCAGCAAAGAGCAGAGCTGTGACACTATCGCTCTGCCAGCTCAATGACGACACATACATCTCCTACAACACGACAGGAACACCAACCCTCTCTATCTCTCTCCTCTTTTCTCCCTCCCTCCTCCTTCACTCCCCCTCTCTTTCTCTTCATTACTCTCTGTCTCTTCATGTTGTGAAAACAGAGAAGAATCCTACAAAATCTGACCTTTGTTGAAGCTGTGGACGTCCTGTGAGTCAAACACGGGCAGACTGAATTCATCAAAATGCATGGCGAGCTCGCTCTGGGACCACAGACTGGATAAAGAAGTGTGGCTCCAGTCAAATGAAGCTCATTGATGCAATTATGGGGGCGAATTTAGAGCCGAGTTCCACATTACGGATAAAGTCAAATAAAAACACCAGG